CAAGGCATCAAGTCGAGCAATATTGTAGGAGTACAAAAAGGTTGTGTATAAAGAATATTCATTTGTGATTTGACTTAGCAATTGAATGGGCATGATCTGCTTCCAAACATCCTTACTCTATTGCAGATAAATTAGCAGAAGATTTCATTGCCGATGTCACGTCCAATTAGCTCCTAACGGTTTTAATTTCTGGGCAAATGATGACGGTTGGAAAGGGAATGGTTCCAATATTAAATATTTGTATCTTTTGCCATGTACATTGTTACTGGATCTTCCAGTTTTTGAATCCAAACACGACGAATCATTAAACCGCAAAAACAAATCGACACAACAACGAAAACCAACCACCAGAGCCTGATTTCGATGCAATCACAACACCAAACGGAAATAAAACACATTTAAATTTAAGAAAATCCATGAAAATGGGATAAAATGAAAACATTTCGCTCCAATGTAAGTGTCGTTCACTAAAATATCGAACACCATGAATGTTACTATCGGCACAGAATATCATGAACCATGCCTGCATGCTCCGAACGAAACATTTACCTCATTACTTTGCTAACTAGTTAAATGATTCATGAATAAGTGTCATATCAATCGGTATAAGCTTTCTCATTTGATTTGCAAATGCACAAGATATTTATTACAAAATAACTTCAAACCAGATCACTTAATCAGTCGATGCGGTTTAGGGATTCATACAATTATTTTCTACGTGTCAATCAACAAACAATGGAAATTTATATAAATATTAGCAACGAAAATGGACATTGATAGATTACTTTGAGGGTTTTGTGTATTATACTTGTTGAAAAATGTATACACTTCCACTGTTTTCCCTGTGCCAAGATCATGGAAAATTTTGCCGAATAAATAATAGTACACTCGTTTTTCATGGTATAGCAGCAATTTCATTTCGTAAATAATGATGGATAACAGATCCAGATATCATGCTGTTATGTAACACAGTCCGACTGTTCAGTATTTTGAAAGTTGGAAAGAATTAATAACAATAGAATACAAAAAGACTCATTATTATTATCATTATGAGTGTTCGATATATTATTTTATTATCATTTTTAAATCACCAAAACATTGATAAATTTTCATGGTTTTCGATTGATTAGAGCGATGTAAACGGAAAAAGTGCAAAATTCAATTTTATACTGCGTTATAAAACTCGAACCGCTCTATGATCGATAAATGGATGGAAGTAAGAGTGCAAATTGTTCCATTGGGTTCTTATGTTTACCTAAAATAAGGAAATCTACCATAATTCCATAGCAAGATGGAGAAAAAACAAACGTTTAAATTTATGGTGCACTATAATTTTATAGTTTGAGCAATAACATCGGACCTGAGAGAAAAGAAACCAATCGTATTGAGTTTTGGCAAATAAAACAATATTTAAATAAAAAGAATTACATTGGTAATCCCGAACTTTTCCGTACCGTTGTCCTGCCTTGTCCGTAGGTACTTTTGGTTATTTTTTGTGAATTTTCTTGAAATAAAGGCAGTGAAAATATAATAATGAAAATAAAGTGAAAAATCGGTCACTTACACTAAAACTTCGACAATTTTGTATGATAGGTTCCCGTAAACCGATTCCTATTGGCTTTAAACTTTCTGAGGTTTCATTTTTTGGAGAAAAAATAAGATTCTGAAAGTTTCATTTGCAGAAGTTTGGTGTTTGGCCCGCAATTTTTGCCGAAATATTCTTGGAACAAATTGAGGGCCAAAAACCAAACTTCTGCAAATGCGATCAACATGAAACTTTCAGAATCTTATTTTTTCTTCAAAGAATGAAACCTCAGAAAGTTTGAAGCCAATCAGAATCGATTAACGGGTACCTCCCATACAAAATTGTCCAAAAATCGGTAATTTTAGTCAAAATGTCAAAAAATTTGTATGGGAGGTACCCGTAAATCGATTCCGATTGGTTTCAAACTTTCAGAATCTTATTTTTTCTTCAAAGAATGAAACCTCAGAAAGTTTGAAGCCAATCGGAGTCGATTTACGGGTACCTCCCATACAAAAGTGTCAATTTTTTGAGGTTTTTCTTGGGGCAAGTACCCCAGGATCAAATCGAAAATGGCTCATCTTAGAACTTAAACTAAGTTTATTGGATACAAAACTTTTGGGACTTTCAGATTTGGATTATCTCAATTATTTTTTGAGTTATCGTGTTAACAAACAGCTACGACGACGGCACACGAACGGAAAAGTGTCTCAAAAAGAAGTTTTCTACGCGTTTCATGAGTTTTTATGATGATCTAAGCTAATTTTGCGAAAAAAGTTTTCGGGACCAATTCCTATACTTTCCCTTGACACATTGTGTACGGAAAAGTAAAAGTTGGTATTTTTGTTTTCTATCGTTGATTCATAATCGTTGTTGTTTCTATCGCTTGATATGAAAGTGCAAGGAGGTTATCAATTTCAATGCAATGAATTTGAAATAGGGACAGAATGTGCGATGTTTTTCGCGAAGAGAATTTTAGTCGCAATCGATTTGTTCAAAGATGCAGTTGTGTTTTCTGTTCAATTTGGTGATTTTGTGGTTTTATGATGTCTCTGATGAAATTTTAACCCAAAATGAATTGTTGGGTGTGCATACTTGGTGGCATTCGAATCACGAACTAAATGCCAGAACGCCCGTTGCCGATAATGCCGTTCGACGTTCACCATTTTATAACATTTGGGTAGCAACCATAGAAAAACCCGATGTAAAATTTGATTCGTTTGTCTACATGTCGATACCACGTGGCGGTCGTGACAAATGGGGCTACAGCAATGAGGATGGTGCTGAATTTTCGGCCGATGAAGCGCATTTAACTATGAGTTGGTCATCGTTTTTGTACGATACAGATTCTTGGGTTTACGTTCAAAATAATAACCACCTTGAGTCGGCTACGAATGTAACGATTCGTCCATCATCGTTGAAATGGCAGACTGAATGGTTGGACAATGGAACAATTCGTATATTGGTTCCGTATTCTGATGATGGTTTTCGATTTTCCATTGAATTTGAATCGGAATTGTACACGGCGTACAATGATTTGAACGGGGTCAGCGGTAAATTGAATGACAAGGGTTTTGGTCGTGCAATTCATACCGAACCGCGCAATGCAATTTTGGTGTTTGCTGAATCTTTTCAGAAAATGGTAACGAAAACAAGCCAAAATTTCAAACGAGAACAGGGCTGGAATTCTAAGAATTCCACCGAAATCGTTCGGAATTATTTTTTTTCGTATATAAGACCATATTGGAGTGAAAGAGAGAGATTCCACTATTTTTCAGCTTCCCACCGGAATTATTCCGATAACTCAAGGAACAGTGGATTGTGTGGGAAATAATTCCGGTGGGAAGCTGAAAAATAGTGGAATCTCTCTCTTTCACTCCAATATGGTCTTATGTACGAAAAAAAAAATTCCGAACGATTTTGGTGGAATGACTTAGAATTCCAGCCCAGTACTGAGAACTAAAAAACTTGGATTTTTCTCTCCATTTTCAGCATCGATACACGCCAAATTTGTTAATGGGAAGCATTTATTATGTCAAACCGGGTTTATTGAACAATTTGGATAATGTTACCGATGACATTATTTATTTTCGGGCTGGAGTTTACTACATGCCATGGAATTATCATGCCAAACTGACGGAGCATGTGAAATGGATTTATTTTGAACCGGGTTCGTTCGTCAAGGGTGCATTTCAATTTTTACACGATGCTCAAAATGCGTTCAAATTTACCGGTTTCGGTGTATTGTCTGGGGAGAAATACGTTTACGAAGCGGACACAAACAACGAATATCGACACAAACGGACATTCAATTGTCATGGCAGTTGTGTGAAATTATTGCGTTTTTCGTCGGCGTTTGGGCGACAACAGTCTTTGACACTGGCCGGTGTTACATTCGTGGAACCGCCGTATCACTCGTTTGTTGTTCATGGTGATGAGGACAGTTTCGAGATGTTGGTTGAAAATTTCAAAATGGTCGGAGCATGGTATTGGCAAACGGATGGAATCGAACTGTATACCAATGGAAAAATGAAAAATACATTTTTCCATTCAAACGATGATGTATTGAAGTGAGCCTTTCCTCTTTCTGTCTGAACAAAAATCATGTTTTTTGCAGGAAAATTCATTCAAATTATGGTATCATACTTTTTCTATAGGATCTATCATGGTAATTTAACAATTAACAATACGGTGATTTGGAAAAATGAAAATGGACCGGTGGTACAGTGGGGATGGTCGCCGCGTAACATTACAAATGTTTTTGTAAATAATACGTTTGTCATTCATAACAAAATGTATTGGTCCGATGTGAAAGGGAACACGTGCATCCTGAATTCATCACCGTCTTGGTCACCCAAGGACATTAAACCCGATCCAGAAACCAGTATTTCGGATTTATATTTTGAAAATTTGCACGTAGAAGGCATGACCAATTGCGCTATACGTTTGTACGCTTTATCAAACACAAATCATATTAAAGTGAAAAATTTCCAAATTGATGGGTGGAATGATCTGGATGCGACATCACAAGCAAGCAAATTTCAACGCACATCGACCGAAATCTCAATTGGTGCGAACGCAATTAGTTTTGAAAACTTTAAAATTGGAAATCAACAGGTTTCGAAAAACAACGACAATTGGGATGCGAAATCACTTGGTCGCTTAGATTTCGATGCTGAATTATATAAAAAGTGGAATGCAGTATAATATTTGGTTTTACACTGACCTATTTAGAATGTAAGCAGAAAAAATTAAATTGTTGAATAAAATGTTTTAACTGTGTATTTTTGTGAATTTTTCAGATAAAACAAGTCATTATGGTTCGTGTGACGAAGTTTGCCTATTAAAACGAATAATGAAGCGTTAGCTGAAGAGAAAATTCATGGATTACAGAATGTTTCCATTGGAAATAAAACTATTGTGAATGAAGCACTTTTTACTTTTCACAGTGCATATAACCACCCCAAATTCTCAGATATCTACCACATGCGGGTAGCAAATTGAATGTGCTAGAAACTGGAAGTGTGTATCTAGTTTCAAACCCATCTGGAAAATGGTTCTTCACTCGAATGAAAAATTGGAAAGATTCTAGCAGTTTTTTACTTCCACTTCTGGTTCACAGGTAGCGCTTTGCAAGGACATCCATCCCAACTGGTAATGCAATTTACATGCTCGCTATTCATTCGCCCTTGCTATAATGCAAATCCACTGGAATAACGCCTAAATCTTGTACTAAAATCAGCTGCGTGTCAAATAGCTGAACTTTTTCCAATAAAATCAGGGTGTTTCGGTTTACTACAAGCATGTTCAACTATTCGAACCTTTTGTTGGTGCTCTAGTTCAGGCAAAGAATTCACAATACTATATTCTGACGATGTTTGTTATGCCAAATAGTGGTGAACATTAAAGGATACCGTATATTTGCTGTTTGGTACTTCTTTGGTTTGTGGTATCTTTTAATAAATAGCTTGAGCCATTATTATTCCTGGTTTCTTGTCGTTTTATCTGTCATATGAATTAGCAAATGACTGAACAAAAAGTTGAAAATATTCAATTTTGACATGTTAGTTGCAGCCAACTCATAGATGGTGGTATGATTCGCAGCGACTTGATTGTGAAAATTTATAAGTTTGTGCCAACCGTGCAAGTCTACATTGGAATTATACGAGTTGGCTTTGATTCGCGATGACAAACAAGCCCCTCAATTCTCTCTATTAGGCACTAGTTCTACATGAAGTATTTTATTTGGTATATGTAACATGTTTTTATTACAGATTATCGAGTGTATACAGTCTGTTATGACTGATAACTTATATCTCGTTGCAGTACATTTTGAATCACGTTTACGATAATGCATTTCCCATCCACTTATTCATTTTTTTGCTTTAGCAAGTAGTGCGTTGAGTGAGTGCATTTTGAATTCGTGCGAAAAGAGCGTTCATTTCGTATTAATCCATTTTCCGATAGTCGCTTCACATTAAATATCCATTGTGTTTGGGCCGGTAATAATGTTTTGTTGCAGGCGTAATGTTTACATTATGCGTCGTAAGTGGCAATAAACATTGGGTGCAACGCTTCGATCCATTTGGAAATAGAAAACCGCCGGCAATGATATTACACATTTGGTCGTGTACCAACACCGAGACCAACACTCAACTCACGGTGATGTTATTTTGGGATTAGGCTTACCTATCACAAATAATATCCCCCAAGTTTCTACAGACAGTTGTTCACTTTTGCATTTGTTGATAAATGGTCATGAGAACGGCGACGGTGGTACTTGACCGAAAAGGAACGATATTTGTTTTGAAAACTTGGACGTGGTGCAATAACATAGATTATCCATGCTTTGGCTGGAACAATGACAACGCTCTGTTTTTCGGTATGCATAAACTGTAGTAACATTTGAGACTTTTGAAATATTTGGTTCTACACATGGAGGTCAGATTTAAGTAGGAGGCGACTGTATTTCAACCTCATACTTCGTTTTGTCAAGTTAGCTCATTATATTGAGAACAAGCACATCTGAAATTATTATCAATGATGTTAAAAAAATGATTGAAAATGGCCTCTTACGAATTTTTTGTCTTAGACAACTACTATTTTTTCGTCGAAAAAATATGGGTCTCTAAACACTTTACTACCGGTTTTCCCACAAATTTGGTCTAAAATTTACATTTCTTCATAAATTAATCGATCGAATGAAAGATTGATACAAAATCACACTTATGGCATAGAAAACACTCATACAATGACCTACTATGGGTCTATATCCACCCAATTTTCGACAAAAAATTATCTTATAGTTTCATTTCACACAATGAAAAGATTTTTTTTAGCAAAGGCGACTGCACTTCGCAAATTCAGCAGAAATAATATCAAAAATTTAGATGTAATTTCGAAAAGTATTTTAATAAAATAATATTTTTTTCACAAAAAAACAAAGACCTTAAAGATTACGTGATAAAAATGTAACACTAATTATTATGTTTGGAATATGAGCTAAAATAATATGAAAATAATTTAAAGGCAAAGTAAATTATTTGCTTCAAATTCGTCATCTAAATAAAGTGACAAGTAGCTGGATTCATCGCTTGCCAATTCATTTTGATTATTTAAATTTTCGGTGAGAAATGCGGACACGAAGTCTTCATTAACGAACTCGAATTCTTCAAATGTTGCGGAATTTTGCTGCTGTGTTGGGTTCTCTTCCTTGTTTGGAATTTCATTTGGAACCACGTAGGTTTCATAAATTGGATGATGCAGAATTGGTGAGTTCTGGCGATGAACTGGTTCATGTGTAATATATTGGAAGTTCTGGTATTGCATCAGGTTGTTGCGAATTTCTTGATTGCTCAATTGACTAACGGAATCGTCACTGTGCGGTGAATGGGAACGATGCGAAGATGGTGACGATTGGCCCGATGACAACGATTGTGATGGTGAGATTGGTCTGCTATTTGATACCTTGGAGTTGCTTGATTTGATATTTTCTCGCTTATCCTTCATGCGGCGATTTTGGAACCAGATTTTCACTTGACGCTCGTTCAAGTTCAGCTTTTTGGCCATTTCAATTCGAGCTGAACGTGTCAAGTACCGGGTATTCTTGAAGAAGTTCTCCAATTCACTCAATTGATCGCTAGTGAAGTTGGTTCGTATGCGCTTTGGACGTCCAGTGCGGCCAAGCTTAACAGCGGGTTTCGCTTGATGATCCGGTTGATCAGATTGACGAATGGAATCGTCAATATCCATCATCATTTCCGGAACGATCTCATAAGATGGTGCATCGGAAAACCAGTTGTTTGGCTAAAATTGAAATGAAGAACATTTTTATTAGATTTTTGTATTCACTTTTTCCCAAATATTGGGTAATATAGCTTGAATTTATTTTAATTGCAAAAAAAAGACTAAATGATTTGTCGAAACTTACCTCATATGAGACGGTGTAAACGGTTGATGGCACGTTGTATGAAATTGGTTGAGTTTGATGATACATGTTGTCTTGATATTTGGTTTTTTCGAACTTTTCTTTATGCAAATAAATGTTTCCCGTTGCAGAAGTTGCTCTTAGATGTGAACACTTTCGAAGGCACTTGAGTTATGATAATTGCAACACGTTGCCGGTCCATTTATACCAATTTTCTGCCCTAAAACCTAGATTTGAAAAATGAGGGATTAAAAAATGCATGTGAAAAGTACGCAAACATTGTTCTAACAAAGAGAAATTGACTAGACAAAGCAGGTAAAGCAGGTAATATCAAACACCTTTTTCATCTCTTCCACATTTGCCTACCTACTCTTCTGATTATTTGTATATGTAAAACTCTGGTGTACATTACTAAGAAGGTGAAGAGACGGCGAGAATACTGGCCGACTGACTGCGTCTTCGGATTATCCACCAAAAAAATTTCATCGACTGTTTATTATTTTGTGGTATAGCACGAGACAAAAACACAAGAATAATAAACATGAAACAAGTAAATACCAGATGCATATTTTTCCTATAGCTAAACGAAAGGTGCCACTTGTCGACATTGGTAAGGGATTTCGAATGGACCATGTCCCACCGAATGGGATCACAGCCTACTTGAGATGGTAGACGACTGCATGAACGCGTCGTGTTTGTGATTTTCGACAGTACAAATCCAAACTAATTGCCCTCACCTGTTGGTATTAGTTTTTCACGCACAACATTGATCATTTTGCGAGACGTCTGATGTCTATACGAAGGAACAAAAGATGAGAACGAAATCAGTACACAAATAAATCTAAGGCATGCTGCATAAAAATGGTGACTCATAGTCGATCTATTTTCTGGAACTAAATTTAGTCGTCAAGTTTCAAATTGAAGGAATAATTTCAATTATGACAGCAAGTTATGCCAAGGCTTATCAACTTACGAATCTGTGCTCAGAATATAATTGGAAGATTTTTGGATGGCAGAGTTCAGATTCCCGTTGGAAAATACGCATAAAGCCTCGAAAAAAATGTGTAGATGATCATCATGCACATTGCACATGGAGAAAAAAGATGGAATTTCTTCCACTCATTCCATTCTTTGAAATAAATCGACTTTACTATGTATTTCTACAAATCCACAGAGATACAATATTCATCAGTACACTAAAAAAATTCTCGATAAGGAAACGCAATTTTTTCAAGGTATAACCAAAATGTGATGTTTTTCATGATTCTCAGTATTCGCCGCAAATTGTTCACAGTTTTACGTGGAAATAACGAACGATTGGCGTAAAAGAATAAACAGTGTGAACATGACAATTACCGTTGTCACAATTTATAATAAAGGGATGGATTGCTTCATGATTAACTTGATGCATGAATTTGTACTAACTTTAAGGTGTGAAATTCTGTTATAAATCGATAAAAGAAAGACCAGTTCTGTTCAATTTTTCAACGTAACAGTGAGATTTTTTTTGAATTGGTGAAGAAAAATCTGGACAAAATTTCAATTTTAATTTGTCATTACTTTTCAACAAAAGTTTCTTATTTGTTATTTTGTGGTAGATAATAGATATAATATCGTGTTCACAAGAATAACAAACATGAAAAATGTAAATACCACGTGCATATTCATCGGATGATAACCAAACAAAAGGTTCCGTTTGCCGACATTGGCACGGGATTTCGAATGAAACATGTCTCAAACACCGACTGAGATCACTGCAATAAGATGTAAGCGACTTAAAGGACGCGACGTATTTGTAATTTTCGACATGACTGTATGGAACCAAACTAATTGCCCTCACCTGTTGGAATGTGTTACCCACAACTTTGTAAATATTACGCGACGTCTAATACCTATGCAAACAAGGAAAAAATCATGAGAATAAAATCAGCATACAAATAAATTTAAAGCATGCACCATAAGGAATTGTGTCTCTTTAGTCGTCACCAAAGTGAAAAAATATATTTGGAAACAAAAACTCGTAGTTTTTAAATTAAACACTATTTGAAGAACTTCAAATTAAATACCAACATCAAATGCATATATTCATTGCACGAACTAAGTAGATCGCAAAGAACTGTTCAGCAAAAGTTGGATATTTGTTTTTTTTTGTGGCTGATATAATCTCGTATGCACAAGAACACAAGAATAATAAATGTGAAAATTGTATAGACCATATGTATATTCATTTATTCATCTTCAACGAGGATAAA